AATTGTGTGAAATGGGATAGGAATTTTATTAAGGGGATGTAAAAATCCTTGTTTTGGACCCGAGTGACCTTTACGCTCGATACATATTAAACAGTGTTTTAAATATTTTTTGACAAAAGCTGCCATGCGAGGGAACCAAAAATGTTCAGAAATTTTTTTCAGTGTTTTATCAAACCCCACATGACAGTTTTCATCGTGAAAAAGTCTTACTAGGCGGAATCTGAACCCTTTGGGTACATACAACTTTGATCCGTTAAATTGAACTCTATAGAATAACAAATTGTCCCGTAAAAAATATGTATTTTCATCAAGTTCACCAGATATGACCTGGCTAATCAAATGTTGTGTTTCCGGGTCATTTTGCTGAGCAACTTCTAACCAAGACTGGGAGTCCTCTATCAGACAAACTTGTTTATATACACTTTTGGAATCATTTAAGGATGTGGCGTTTTCCGAAATTATTTCAGATTGGTGTCCTAGAGAGTTTGATACCAGTATTGTTGGGCTGACAATAACGGGGGACTCTACAGGATTGAGGCTGAGAAAGTCGACGTGGCCTATATATTTACCCTTTTTATATATAATTTCAAACTCGAAATCTTGTAAAAATGTCCACCAACGGGCAACACGAGGAGTTAGATCCTTTTTGTTCATTGTAGCTTTGATGGAATTGCAATCGGTAAAAATTTTAAATTTAAGACCTAATAGATATACCCTAAAATGCTTTAATGCGTTGTAGATTGCTAAAGTTTCCAAATCATAAGAGCAATACTTAGACTCTGCGGGTGAAGTTCTTTTACTAAAGTAGGCTACGACTTTCTTGACATTTTCTTCTCTTTGTACTAGTATTGCTCCATATCCTAATGAACTGGCATCAGTGTAAAGTTCTGTCTGCAATTTTGGATCGAAAACAGTAAGCAAGGGTTTCGTGGACAAATGTCTTATAACATAATTCCTAGCCGCATCCTGTTCGGGACCCCATTCCCATTTCGTGTTATTTTTGGTCAAATTGGTAATACAAGATGTGCGAGTAGCAAAAGCCGGAATGAATTTGCGGAAGTAACTTGCAAGACCCATAAACTGACGTGCCTGTTTTACGTTACTAGGGATGGGAGAATTTACTAGGGCGGTCACCTTTGTCTCACTGGGTCTCACTCCCTCTTGTGATATAGTTCGACCTAGATACTCAATGCTTTCAACAAAAAACTTACACTTTTTTAGATTTATAGTAAATCCTGAATTGCATAAAGCCTGAATAGTCAGCTCTAAATATTGAAGACCCTCCTCTATGGCTAAAAAAGGAATAAGAATATCATCTATGTATACTAAAATAAACTTTAAGTGATGAACAGCTTTTGTGATGGCTCTTTGAAACACAGACGGTCCATTACAAATACCAAATGGCATTTTCAGAAATTCGTAATGGCCATCCGGTGTAACAAAAGCCGTGTATTTTATAGAGTCTGATGAAACGGAAATTTGGTAAAAACCATTTTTCATATCTATAGAAATAAAGAATTTTGCTTTACCTAGCCTGTCTATTTGGTCTTCAATGAGAGGGAGTGGATATCTATCCTTTTCTACAATTTTATTTAATGATCGATAATCAACACATAATCTATCGCTGCCATCTTTTTTCTTCACTAAAATTACCGGATTTGCAAAAGAGGAGTCACTTTCACGGATTATGTTTTGTTTCAAAAGGTCTTGAACAATTTTATTGACCTTCTCTCTCTCTATCGGTGCTAGGCGATATGGACGGTAGTTAACTATCTCATTTTTAACCAAACTTAATCTTAATTCGCCGGTTTTCACAGTACTGGTTTCATCCAAGACAGAAGGGTATTTTGTGAAAATATTTTTTATTCTTTCTTGTAATGCTGAATCTAAATGTTTGATTTTAGAAGTTAATTCACTTAATTCGGTCGAAGTAGTACATATGTTTACTTCTGCCTTGGTTTCAACCGCCTTTCTAGAGAAACGGCTTCCTAAAGAATCGGTGATAATCTCTATATCTGGGTACTTGACAGCGTTTCTACCTATGAGTAGATTATAATGAAAATCATAATCCCTGACAACATGTACATCAAGTTCTATACTAACACCTTCACATTGAATGACCACAGTAATTATAGCAAAAGCATGGATTTTATTAAGTCCTATTCCTCTTAAATACATGGATATTGGTGAAAAATGGCATCCGAGTCGTTTTGCAATTGATTCTTTTATTAAACTACAATTTGCTCCTGTATCTATCAAGGAATCAATGGGTATACCATTAATAAAAACACGTGTCAGATTTAGTTCGGCTTTTCTAAAAAATTGACTTCCTTAGTAGGGACGACAGTTATTGAAGCAGCGCTGGATGATTCTGCTCGCTGCTTATAATAGCAAACTGCCTCGGTATGGCCAACCCTTTTGCAATAAGTACAGATTTTCGTACGAAATTCAGTAGGTTTAGGGAATTGTGGAGTTTGATTAAGAATCCTTGAAGAAGAGTGACCTGACTTACTTTTTGGACACTGAGATTGCAAATGGCCGACTTGGTTACAAGCAAAACATTTCCTTTCGCCGTTGAGCTTTGGGCGTTTTGCTGATGATGGGCCCGAATCAGTGTTTTCTAAGGCTCTCTTTTTGGTTTTACGTATATTGAAAGAAGAGAGATAAGAGCAGCAGTTGTAGTTACGCCACTATTTAGTGAGGCCATCCTTACATCAACATCACTAATACCCCCACAAATTAATTCGATCAATTGTTCATCGGTGAAGGCGATTTTAGTGTTCCGAAATAACCTCAGTTTTTCTCTCGCATATTCTCCGTAAGAGTCCGCGGAGTCTGAATTATATAAGACTGCCTTACTGAGTTTTTCGGACAAGTTTTTCCTTTCAGGAAAGGCATCGATGATATCAGCACGAAATTTTTCCCAGGATCTGCCTTCCGAAGGTTCCCATGATTCGAACCACGTCAAGGCAGAACCCTTCAGGGCCTTACCAGCTTTAGCTGCAGTCTTGATACTGCTCCACTTCAATTCCGATGCAAGTGTCTCGATACTGCAGCACCAGTTCTTAGCTCCACAGTCGTTTTTATCCGGGTCAAATAGTGGCAGAGCGATGTCATCATCCTTCTGATGTGTTGTAGAGACAGCGTCCCGGATCGCCTTGAGGAGTTCACTGATCACTTCAGAATCCATCCTAAAATAAAATATTTATTACTAGGAGCATGAAATATCCCACTTCTGATGTTAGATTTCTTGTTAATATACCCACAGTTGGGATAAAAGTCAAGGAATAAATACTGAAAGCCAAGAATGAATTTAAACTAGAAATTTATTAATAAATAAATATATGTAAGTAGTTTTGATTACTAATTATAAACTAGAAATTTATAAATAAATAAATATATGTAAGTAGTTTTGATTATCATTATTCAATGTTTTAAAGTGATTATTTTAGCTTCTCGAAATGAACGATGTTATAATTAAAATGATAGATTAATGCTTTAAATTTACTATTATTTATTATCATAACAACTACTAACATTATTAGTAATTTATATAACTAATCAATTTAATACAAATAACATTGCTATTTATATATTTACTTCTTAGTTACGACAAACACTAACATTATACATTATACTAATGTCAATGCCAATCTTCCCTAAAATAACTTAAATAGCAAATAAATACAAATGTACAGACAAAACACTAATATTACACGTTATACTAATGTCAATGCCTGTTTACCATAAAAATAACTTATATAGCAAATAAATACAACTGTACTTAACTTATGTATCGATGTACCGTTCCGTAGCTGCCTCACAACTGAACTGCCAACGTTTTACCCTACCATATTAATAGTTTGAAATAAATAAAAAATCAATCAGTACAACTTCCGTTAGCAATATTCATATAAAAATAATTTAAAGTTGATAAGTGCAAATAACACAAAATAAAAATTGGTTTTTAAAATTAATAATTGTTTACAAAATAAGTATATCTTGTCACGTTCGTATGCGGCAGCGAATCACTGTGGAACTACTGCGGTAGCGAAATATCTGCGGAACGTTAGTACACAGCAGTTTTTTTCGCAAAGAAATGTTATTGTAATTAACGTGGACTACGGGTGCAGACGTCATTTCAGAATGTCGTCCGGGTCGTCCCAGTCATCGCTTTTAGATTCTGAAGAGGAAGAATTGTTGCTTGCGTCAGTATTAAAGAGAAAGCGTAACATTTGGGTGCATGAAATAAACCAGAAACGAAGGAATCTTGGAGAAAATAAACTATGCATAGAACTTCTATCACATGAAGATCGTTTCTATATTTATTTCAGAATGAAGCCAGAAACTTTTGAATATTTACACAACCTTCTTGAACCTCATATTAAAAAGAAAAATACAAACTACAGACAGGCTATTTCAACAAAAGAAAGACTGGCACTTTGTTTAAGGTAAGATTATTTATTAAAATGTTTATTTATTCACTTGTCATTCCAATTAGAAATATATTCCTGAATATCTTCTTGATGTCGTATTGTGTTGTTGTCTTGTCGTGATACTTTGGTACGCGTAATTGTCCTGCCATTACTAGCTCCCTGTGCCGAATGGGTTTGTATATAAGGCGATTGTATTTGTGCATTAGTCAAAAGGTTTTGAGTGTCTCGGACCGATTGGGTTTGAGTGTTAGGTAAGTGCATCTGTGCCGAATTAGTTTGTATATAGGGCGATTGAATTTGTACATTAGGTAAAATGTTTTGAGTGTCTGGGACCGATTGGGTTTGTATATTGGGTGATTGTATTTGTGCATTTTCTATACAATACGATGGCTCTTCTTCAGATGGTGTCGATCTTGACATGTTCGAGTCGTTGTCAATGTAGTAAAAATTGGGAGTACTAGGGGATGACGCATTGCTGAAATTAGAATTTGGCCGGCTATTATTTAATTCTTGAAGTTGAGCCTGAGTTATAATGTTTGTTATTTGAAGTTAAATAATAGCTTGTTAACGTAGAGAAAATGTCTTGACAGTATGGGCATAACCTAGAAAGTCCATATCCATTCGATCACACGCTATTTTGACGAAATTTTCTGTGGCGTTTGTGCCTGTATTTCCAGATTTTCTAGTCTTTAAATAATTTATAATCTTGTCAGCAGGATCGTCGTTGCTTACACGTCGTCTTCTTCGGGATATTTCACGTGTTGGATTAGTTTCAGATGTAGTCTCGACTGCCTTAAGTTCTTGAACAATTCGGAGCTCGTTCTGTTTGTTATTTGAAACTTGTTCGGCTTCTGTAGAATTGTCATGTTCATTCTCTGTAGATAGAGTATTGGTATCCAGTATTACCCTGCTAGCTTCCAGTGTACTGTCAGTTTCCCTTAAGTTTATGGAAGAATCTATGAACGACATTTGGTCAGCCCATTGCCAATTAGCGAGTTTCTTCGCGACTTGTCTACTGCTTGTTTGCTGGCTCTGTTTATATTTTTTGTATGTGTCCCTTAGATTTCTCCATTTAGTCTTCATAGTTTTAACTGTAACAATATTTTCAGGTTTTTAGCAACTGGTGACACATATACAACAATATCTTTTTCTTATCGTTTGGGTGGATGTACTGTTTCAAAGATAGTAACACAAGTATGTGAACAAATTTGGAAGATACTACAACCAGAGTACATCCCAGTGCCTTCTACTAAATCATGGTTGGAAATAGCAGATGCATTTCAAACAATATGGGGTTTCCCTAATTGCCTTGGAAGTATTGACGGCAAGCACATTGTTATCAAATCTCCACCTAACAGCGGCTCACTATTCTATTGCTACAAAAAGCGATTTTCAACTGTGTTATTGGCTATAGTAGATCCACATTACAAATTTACATACATAGATGTAGGGTCATATGGTAAGGATTCCGATAGTACCATATTTGAGAACTCATCATTTTATCAGCTTTTAAAAAATGGAAGGGATCTAAATTTGCCAGCTCCAAAACCTTTGCCAGGTCTCGAACAGCTTACATCACATGTATTCATTGGAGATGGAGGATTTAAATTAGAAACCTTTCTGATAAGACCTTTCACTAGAGACGCAGTAATAAATGACAATGGTAAAAAAATATATAATAAATCATTAAGTAGGCACGAGTTGTAGTAGAATGTGAAATGAAAAATTTAGAATATTCTTGAGGCCCATGGAAACAGATTTAAATAATACCATTAAAATTGTTAAGGTTGCAATATGCTTGCATAACTTATTGCAGATTCAAGAAGGTGCATACACGTTCGAAAATAAACAATTTTCGGAAACTTTAGGAGCATTCGTACCAATGCATGTAAATAGACATAGGGCAGACTTAGCAGCGTCAATGTTAGATCAATCAATCAATCAATCATTTATTTCGTAAAACACAGGTAAATTCAGATGTTACAAACCATATTTAAAAAGATCGCCATGTTTCGCCAATAGGCATACAAAACAATAAAAGGATTTCATTATTCCTGTGCAATACAACTGTTTAAAGTCATGTAATCATATACTTATTCAATTCAATAATAGACGTTGATTTGATTTCTTAATTAAATAACATACTGATATTGATAAATGATGATTAAATCGGGAAAAATGTTAAAAATAATTAAAAATGTCAAACTAAATATGTCAAATAATTAACAATCCAAAAAGTCAAACTAAATATGTCAAAATAATGAATAATCGAAAATGGCAAAATAATTAAAAGTTCAAAATACTAAATAAAATGTCAAAATAAATTAAAAATTTCAAAACAATTAATAATTACAACGTCAAAATAAATGTCATGTACAAATACTTAATTATAAATACCTAATTATATACATAACTAATTGAAATCAAAATTTATCATTCAGAAAATCTATTATGGAGTAGTATGCTTTGTCAATAAGTAATTTTAAGAGATTGCTTTTAAATTCATTAACATTTTTACGGTCTCTGATTTGTTTCGGTAAATGATTGTACAGCTTTGGTGCCATTGCGTAAACACTTTTATGTAGAAGTGCTGTTTTGGCTTTTAATAAGTGCAATTTGTCGGAGCGACGTTGACTTTCTATAAAAGAAAATAGAGAAATGTTATTTCTCACGAACATGCAGACTTCATAAACATACATAGATGGAAATGTCAATAGTCTTAGTTTACAAAAGTGCGGCTTTTGGGACTAATCCCGCCCACATGCCCACCACTGTAACTCCTGTACACCAGGATCCACAGCAGTGACCCACGAACACACCGAGTTATGACACTCGGGAAGTCCCAGGAAGAAATTAAACTGTCTTGGAACCCGCAACGAAATTAATCAGAAGAAAATTGGAGGAGTTGGAAACATAGTAAATCCACTTCCCTCCTTAGCAAAGCGGGAGACAAAATGAAATAAAATGGGCATACACCCTTTTAAACAGGGAAGCACCACGGCCACGAAATATTACGGGTCCTACGTGAGCTATATTTGATTTCTATAATACGTATGACAGAATCGCCTAAACGCACGGAAATTCACCCTAGTTGACACAAGATCCCCATAGTATACCGCCCCAGATGTCACCTGCAAGGTATTCAGCATTATATTACGTTCATTACACCAAAGACTACATTCCCAGAGGATATGATGAGCAGACTGTTCATAGTGAGAGTTAGGTGTTGAGCATTGACACAATGGTGACTCGACTAATTTAAATGAATAAAGCTTGCTCTTAAAGTTACCATGACCCGTAAGAAATTGAGCGACACAGTGATCCACCTCAAGCCATGTCCTCGACAACCGTTCGCGAACAGATGGAAAGAATTGGTAAAGATGGCGCCCCTTGGATGATTCATCCCAGCGTTGTTGCCATTCGTCTATGAGGTCATTATAGACATCGGACTGCTGTTGAAGCAATCTTGTAATTTTACCGCGATCCCGCGCGCCCAAAAAATCGCATTCCATGTTTTGTTGTCTTGAATAGTACATGGCTGCACGTCTCTGCACTTCGAGATCGACCGGAAGCACACCCGCCAACACCGGCAAAGCCTCGGTGCTAACCGTCCTATATGCCTTGCACAAGAATATCAGTGCAAGTCGTTGGCCTTGTAACAGTTTGCGACGGACAGCGCCTACGGTCGCCCTATCGGCCCATACAGGTGCACCATAGCACATAGAACCTAAATAAGTAGCTCCGTATATGATCTTTAATGTATTAAATGATAGACCCCATGTCGCAGTTGATATCCTTGTCAATGCACAGAAACTCTTTTTAGACTTTTCATTAACTATTTTAATATGTTCGATAAATGAAAAGTTTCTTTCTAAAACTAATCCTAGGTAACACACTGAGGCCTTATTTTTTACAGTAACATTGTCAAATCTAATGCTTGGCGGTGATTTGAGGTTACCTTTTAAAAGTAGCTGGAAGGTTTTGTTGGGTGCAAAATTTAAGCGATTACGTTCACCCCATTGAGATATCAAGTTCAAACATCTATTGGCTAATCTCTCAAGCCCCGCCCTAGTATCAGATTCCACCAGTAATAAGCCGTCATCAGCATACGCGTTCAGAGTACACCCGGATGGTATTGGTATCGCAAGAAAATCGTCGAAGCCGATATTCCACAAGTATGGACCTAGCACCGATCCCTGAGGACATCCCATTGTAAGCGCCTTCGACACAGAATGATGACCAAGTCTTAGTTTAGTAGTACCTTGTGAAAAGTACGAAGATATAAGGGAATAAATATTTTTAAAGCACCCCCGTGATTTTAATTTCAGCAACAGCATGGGCCACCATGCGTTATCGAAGGCGCCAGATATATCTAAGAAAATAGCCAACACGTATTGAAATTTTGACTCTGTGACAAACTTTCTAACCGATATAACAGCGTCAGTTGTCGATTTACCCAACGTAAATCCAAATTGTCTATCATGAAATTTGACTCCACCTGGCAGAAGCCGGGGCACTACAAGACGTTCTAAAAGCTTTCCTAACGATGGTAACAATGTGATTGGTCGGTAGGATTTAGGATCATCCGGTGGCTTGTCGCCACTTTTTGGTATTATACGAATATTACCGCACCGCCATATACGAGGAAATATTCCTTCAGCAATGCAACGTTTAAAGACAGTGAAAATCGTGTCACCCGAAAGTTTACAAGCTTCTTTGATCATTTTGTTAGATATTTTATCATCGCCCGAAGCCTTGTTTAGTGGCAAGGATCTAATGATACCGAGAAATTCGTCTGAAGATGGTAAATCAGACATTGGAGACAGTGGTGGTTCGATGGCCCACTGCCTGATCTGTCGGTGATGATCAGTGTCGTTTTCCGGCCGATCGTCAGGTACGAGTGATTCTAAAAGATATTCTGCTGTTTCTTCTACTCCTGTGGTATATCTGTTATTAATTTTGATGTTCTGTATGTATGCAAGGTCGATTGATCTATTTGCCTTAAATTCGTGATACAAAGGTGACCACGGGCCCTCTCTATCGAGTCTATCGACAAGTTTCTGAATTAAGTTTCCCTTCGATTTTTCCACTGCAGCTCTGTAGTGGGACCTGGCAACTCTAAGAGCAATGAGAGCATTATTGTACAAATCTCCTGTTACGTTGTGTTTTTTAAAATTGTTTAATTTTCTACGAGCTTTCCGGTAGCTTCTACGTAGTTCGACTAATCTATCATTCCACCAATCACATCTACGAGTGTTAGTGATAGATCCGCGACCAATAGATACATCAGCGCAGTATGTGAAAGTTTCTGATAGTATTTCTGCGCTTTCCTCAGCTGATAAACTACTGCGACTGAAGTCTTTGGTATGAGTTGCAAATAGTGAACCAAACAAAGCCCAGTTCGCACCTTTAGTTTTATATCTAAAATTAAAAGGAGCCCTTTGTGGATCCCGTGCAACCCTTGGTATGAATTCGTACACGATCAAGCGGTGATCACTACAGGATGCGTCCGGGAGGACACGCCATCCGGATATCGAGACGTCGCCGCGCGTAAGCGTCACGTCAATAGAAGACTCACCCATTGGGTTGCAAAAAGTTGGTGGTGCATCGGGGGTATTGTGAATAGTAAGATTCATTTCCGCAATGAAATCTTCAACCGCACAACGTCGAACCGTGTCGGTTGAACGCAACTTGCCATACCATAATGAAGACGACGCATTGACATCAGCGCCAATGATAATTTTATGTCCCACGAGGTACTGCAAGACGTAACGTAAGTGATGTAAGTGAGGATCAATAGGATGTGAATATTGAAAATAGCAGCTCACTACGTAAACCTTACAGGTAGAGGATGAGATCTCAGCAACGGCGCAGTGTGACGTCATAAGATTACGCAAAGATGTTACCGTAAAATTAGAACTTGCAACATATATCCCAGCCTGCGAACGGCAGTCAAGCTGTACTACATTACGACGCAAGCGAGCGCTCTGATATTGTTCTTGTATAAGGACAATGTCTAACTTTTGTTCTAAAATTAAACGGTCTAATTCTGATGTAGCTATTTTATCGTTATGAAGATTTAA